ATTCATAGTTAATAATTTGAAAACAATATGTAACCATAAGAAGTCATAAAATTTAATTTTAATTTTAGGAGTGATTCAGTGGGTTATGATAAAAAATATCAACCTGTATACTCGTATAATCTATATTTTTAAAAAACTAAACTTCATTGAAAATAATTTTTTTATTGTTTTTTTTTTTAATTTATTTATTTATAAAAAGAACAATTTTTTGTAAATATTTTTATTAGAAACCCTATTTATTTCAATCAAAAACTATAAGCATTCATAATAAATTCTACTAATAAATCAACTATTAAGTCTCGAGAAGTTTTGTCAGTGTGTAGCATATAAAAAATTATAAAAGACCTATTTATAAGAGAAGAATACATTACGTTATTCATTTTAATTAAATATTAATAAAAGGAATGCGACCATCATTGGAAATATATTTAGTGAAAAGATAAAAAATATAATATATTTGGACAAATTGTACGAAAAGGTGAAGAAAATACGATCTTCATTATAGGCGCAACGAAAATAAAATTTATGTTAACTACATATTTCTTCTACTAAAAATTATTTTTGTAATACAAAAGGAATAATTTTATCAATTTTCTGAGGTACTTATTTGTATACAGGATGGCTGCTAAGGCACCAAATCCCAATTAATTATTGTGTTCATCATGTTACTATATATCGATATATCCAATACTTGTCTAAAAATACACTGCAATTAATTGTTTTCCTATATAAACAAGGGCGTTTTCAGAAATTTTTCGTAGATAGGTAAAATATTTTTTGAAACATTTAGATTTACTATCCGCTCAACATATCCAGCGTTGAAGGTGTATGACTGGGGTCCTCAAACAAAGTACCTCAACTTTTTGGAATCTTCACAATAAGCGCAATATATTAGAGCTTAGTTAAAGAATTAGTTTTCCAAAAAAATTAAAAACATATGTGTTATTGTGTATATACTTGTCTAGTATATTTTTAAGATAGGGAGAAAATATAATTAAAACAGAAAAAAATTATAATTAAGTGATATTTTGGTAGTTTTATGTTGAAAAAAGTAAATCTTTATAAATTATATAAATAAAAAATCAAATCTACTTGTCATTAACATATAAAAATAATATTTTTCATCCTGGCAATAATAATACAATTAAATAAAATATTGTATAATACACCCAAACCAACGATTGTGAAAATTGAGCAAAAGTTCAAGGTGTGACAACTGCTTCCTTTGCCCTCCTATGGACGCCTATATATATAAATACATTATAATTTTAATGGGGTCAAAAATTCAAATTATTTCACAATATAATTTATCTTACAGCTCTTAATTCTATTGATAATTTTCATATTAATTAAAAAATATAATTCACATTTAACTTTCACAAAATGTTATTTCGTATTTTAAAAAATTTTGCTATTACTAAATTAATTATGTATTGACATGATAACTTAAATAAAGATAGAATTTATTAATCAATCAAATTAATTGATTAATTTAAAAGATCAAATCCAACTTTTTGACCATAATGATAAGAATTATAACAAGAGTAAGTTCTTAAATTAACTGAAAATAATGACTGACTAAAAAAAAATTGTATTAAATTTGGTTTTTATCAATTGAAATAAAAAAAATCTAAAGTAAATTAACTGTATTATACATTTTTTAATTAAATTATTTCCTTAAACATTAATTTCAATTCTACATGGGTAGATCATGGCCTAAACTTAAATTATACCTTTTAATATAATCCACTTATAACTAAATACATTTTCTAAAACGATGAGAGATATAGTCATTCACCAGATAAATATTGTATAAACCTAAATGATACTAATTTATTTATTACATAATCAAGCTTAAACTTAAATCTTAATGAACTTATTTAAGATTGACCCCTAGAATTACAATACCAAATATATTCCGAGTAGTTTATTTGAAATAAAATTTAATACTAATGAAAAGAAACACTTTTTTACTGATGATTTTACATTATTGTCATTATTATTTTTTTAAATATATCAAATATATTTCATTGTGTTTTATTAAAATAAAATAAAGAAACTGATATTTCAAAATTAATTCATTTATTGTTGTTATGAAGTTATTAAAAAAATCATGTGAATACTATACAGTTAAATAATGTACGATTACTTTTAATTAAAATACAATTGAATAATTATAAACACATCTTGATTCAATATATGTTTAGTTTGAGTTCATTGAACACATTAAGAATAGTTTCCTTAAAATGAAGCTCACAACACATGTAATTAGTTTACGAATTTAGTTTTAAAACGTTGTCAAATGACCATGACCGTTCCGGAATTATAATGACGACCTTGATGATGACTGGCTTTGATTGATTAAGAGAGAATGTCTGAAAAGAAGATTGATGTAGTCAGTAGCTACAGACTACTTGAAAAAAAAATAATAGAAAAATTAGATACTAGTTTTAAATAACATACATATGATTAAAGTACACGTATGTATCATAAATAACGAATGAAAACTGAAATTTCGTTACAGTTATATGAAAATAACAAATTATAATCTCATTGAATTCATTTTTTTGAAAAATATTGAATAAATTAGAAATTGCAACGAAGATTACAAAAATAGGTAAAATTTGACATTTTAGCTTCTATGCGAAGCTAGAAGCTAGATAATTTTTTATAACTTGTTTTTATTATATTTTACATTAGTATAAAATAGTCTGAAGTGGCCAACAAATAAAAAAATTATCTATTTAGCTTCATATGATTCGATGAAGCTAAGTTAAAGATATAGTCTATTTCAAATAAAAGTTAACCATTATCCAATTTAATGTTTTCGACTTGAAAAACGTTTAAGAGTTATATTTATATTAGCTAAATTTATATTTTATGGCTAAATTGAGCCCAATTATAAGACTACAAAAAAATGAACAAGCTATCGAAATTTAAAGAAGATTGTGAAATATTTAATTAAATAAAAACATTTGTTCACTAGTATGTTATGATATTTTTGTTATTATGTGACATTAACTAAATATATGATAATTAATTTTTCATTATAAAATTTCAAGTTTGATTAAATATACTTGAATAAATTATTTATTTTTATTTTCTTTTTTGAGATTATATTCTCCGTAATAACCTGCAAAAAGAATATTCCAGTTACCAGGAAAATTCTTTCGATATTTCACTATATGTGTTTATATAATATATAAATTAATAAACACATATCATATTATGCAGAGTGATTTATTTATTATGAACACTTAATTAATCGAAAAATCAATATATTATTGAGAACTTTATTTTTTTTGTTTCTTTTAGGTACATGTTTTAATTTCAATTTATTAATCTTTTAGTATTTTTTATGTTCATTCCTTATACATTATAAAGAAGTTAAATTAATTTTTTTTAAAAGTAACACGCATAATTAATTAAATTATTAAATATACAAAAGAAAATTATTGGTTAATAACAACTTTTGGACCAGTATTTCGGAATTCATTAACGTTTTTAAGTGATGGGTGGAATTGAGTAAAGGGTATTGTTATTTTTATCACTAGTCATTTCCCAGTTGTACTAGACCTCCCTAGGTATAAAATATCAATAAATAATATTATAATATTTTCTATTTTAATTTTTTTTTCAATTATCTATATTTTAAGTCAAACAGTACAGACAAAGGTAAAGGGGTAATTACCATTAAACCCCTTTCTTTTTACAAAAAATATATTTAAATGTTAGTTATCAATATTTTTAGAGAGAATTTTCGTAACTTTAAATGTCAATAAAATAAGTGTATTAAAAATAAAGGGGTTGCCCTTTCCAAAATAATGCTCTAGTTACTAAGACGAAGGTCAGAATAATTAAACTAAAAAAGTTAACTTTCTTTTCTTTTTTTGTTAAATCCATACTTAGAATTATGATACACGTTTGCAATAATTCACCAATTATTTCTTAAAAATAAACACTATTTATGGATTTGCATAGAAAAATTTATGATAGTAATTTAAATTACTGTCAGATACTGACTACTGGGTTATTCACTATTTAAAAATCTCATTATATAATAAAATAATAATAAATTAGTCAATGCTGAAAAAATTACTAAACGATGAGCTTTTTTCTTATGTCCACTTCCATAGTTATTAATAAGATATATTGCTTTGTGCATCTCAATTTTATGTTAGTTTATAATGTTTTCACTAATAACAAGTCATTAAAATTTTTTTTTTAGTTAAATTTTTTAATGCATTTTCTTTATACTCTATAAAGTTATTTATGATTTATAGGGATTGCTAAAGGTGAAATATTTATATTGTTATTTTTATCACTAGTCATTTCCCAAATGTACTCTTCATCCCACCTAGGTGTAAAAATATCAACAATTTCCAAAATACGACTCCAAAAGTTATTATGGATCAGACATTTTCTTAATTAGATTCTAAATTAAATTAAAAAATCAAAGTTGGTACGCATATAATTTATAAGGGATGAACATAAAAAATACTTTATGAATGATTAATTGAGATAAACATTGAACTAAAAGAAACTAATAAAAAAAAAAATTAATATTATTCTAATTTGTCGATTAATTAAGTGGTTTATGATAAGTGAATCTGTATTGTTTGTTCCAACTATGCCGCATTCCCCTCATTGTTCCACGACCCCACTGCGCTGTTTTTATTAAATTAGAATAAATATTTCGTTTTGTTTTTAAATTGTTCACTAAAATCAATCTTGTATTTGTTGTTATATTTTCAAAAACTATAACTTTTTCATAAAAAAATACTTTTTATAAAATAAAATAAATAAGCATTTTTTGTTAAATGATTTTTTATTTATTATTAACTTTACAGGCAATAGCCCAAAAAATACAATATGTATTTGACAGCAAATTAATCAACTTAAAATTATCAAATAACTTAAAAATGTGTAACTTAACATAATATAACTTCACATTATAAACAAAATTAAACTTAGTAAAGAAAAAAAGAGAGATTTTGATTCCTACTTGATATAATACCTGACTTGTCTTAAATTCTGTAATAGTGTTTAGATGGAAAATGATAAATCTAAAACACATAACTCAAAATTTACACTATTTTTATGTAATAGTTACTATTGATACGTTAATTAATTTAATTGTACATTATGCAATTATGTTTTGGATAATTTTTTTGTTATTTTATCTGCCACAATATCTTGTTTACACAAAATTGTATAATTTGTTAATTTTCGTAATGTATTAAATAGGGGACAAGTGAGGTAAATGTAAACGAAAGGAGGAATTTTAAATTAATTTTTTCTCTTCGAATATTTAGTAGATTTTATTTTAGATTGAAAAGTTTTGATCTTTGTATGAGTTCATACTCAAGTATCATATTAAATGAAAGTTTGAAATAAAAACTTATACGTTTATATCAAAAAACATTCATTATTCCAATCGTTTAGTATTACTTCACCTTACTCTAATGTAAAATGTATTGTACTCTAAAATAATTTATATACAAAACTCTCTACATTTAGAAAATAAAATAAAAAAACTTTGTTTCTATTATTATTTAATAATATTTCTCTTTTATTTCTACCGTATTATTTAAAAAAATATTAGTTGATTACAACTTCTTAAATAGTCTATTCTATAGAAATTTGACGAAGCAAGTAAATTTACAGACGTAAACTGTGATATCGTAACAAAAAAAATACATGAACAATTAAGATTCAAGCATAAATCCAATTGCTTGGCTTAACCGCGTTAGAATATAAAAAGGATAATCTACATTAAATTGTACTTACTCATATGATATTTTATCCAACAACGCTGCTCCCCATTTGTATTGCCGTCATAATTGATCAATGTCAATTACATTGTGCTAGAAGAAATTAAACAAAAATACTAGAAAAGTTTCACAGACTGATAAATATATTAATAATTTTTATCCACGTAATCATTCATTTAAAGTTTTAAAATATATCAAAATAATTCATACACAGTCTTCAAACATTAGGCGCTTATTTTCATAAAATGGTAACTATATGGATAATTTTTTTAGTGTCAATTATTTATTGATTTGACAATAATTATATTAATTTTAGCTTCATCTCTTATTCGCTATAAAAGTGTAATGAATGAATTTATTTGTAACATCCCTTATCTTTATTGTAAATGTGAATTAAAGTTATTATGTGATAATGAAAAATGTTATTTAAATGAAAAACAAATTATAGGAAAAAATATATATCTTTACTAATTAAATTAAAAAAAATTTTTTTTTATTAAACTGTCTACAAACTATAAATTATTTTCTGAAATTTTTCGAAACTTTCGTTTATTGTTTTTTTACTTTAATATATTATGATAATTATGAATCTACACATGATTTTGTACAAGATTTATCGAGTTGAAACCATTTAAAGTGTCACGAAAACTTTTAACAAATGTCTGTATATTTTCTAAAATATTTACCTTTATTTACGAACAAAGGATTAAGTAAGCCCTGTATTAATGTTTAAACTTTTAAATTAGTTTAAATCTTTTTATGTCAATTCACATTATTATCAGAGTTACTTTGACATGGCATACATCCATTGTTTTGCGAATTTTTGTGGACTTTAGAATAAAATATAATGAAAATTTTTCTGTAAAAAGATAATAGTTCTGAAACGATTGTGATAATAATTATCATAATAATTGCAAAACAACAAAATAAAATTTAATTTATATAAATAGAAAAGTATACTTTTCTATTCATGTATAATATCAACGTTGTATAATTAAACATCGTTTATGTATTACTTTTTTTTATTAATTTATGATTTAAATAAACAACATTGCTATAATATAAAAATAGCTATTAAATTACTGATGAAGTAATGTAGAAATGATATCTAAACAAATACTTTTATGTAATTTTGTATTATACTAACTATTCTGAAAAGAAAATTCACAAGTTTTGAAAATTATTCCTTATTTGCTTAATCAGTTAATTTAAATATGAATAAATAAAAATAAATTTGAAAAATTTGAAAAAAATTCAATTTATACCTTAAAAACTAAACTATCCATTTAAATACTTTTTAGCTTTTTACATTTTTATTTTCTTATAATTCTTTATTACAAATTCTTTAACTTTCCACAGCAAAACATTCAATTTATGAGATTCAAAGAAAAATATTTCTTTTAATATTATCTTCATTTATTATTTTATTGTCATTGTGATTGTTTTTTTATTTTCTTGAAAATGAAATAAATGAATAATTGTTACTTTAATATTATAAATTGCTTCATAATAATAGAACATGTATACTTTAAGTATGATAAACCCGTATTTTATTATATAGATAACAAAACTAGTTTAATAACATTGTTTTAAAACGAAATTTTATGTTTGTTGATTTATCATTCAGTATTTTAAATACAAAACCATTCTAACAAATTGTTACAGTGAATTGAAAGTTTTCAAAATAAACGGTTTGATGGAATACTCGATATTTTTTAAATTTATATCGACTCCAAATGTATTGTAAATATATTTTAATTTGTTAATAACCATTTAGTTTCAAGAATGTCTGAGCTTAATTCAGTTACTCAGTGTATATCTAAATTCACTCTAGTGGAGCTTAAAAATACTTTAATTTTTATATTGAATTTTTCAAATAATTTTTAACAAATTTTCGGATTACCTGAATTGAATAGTACCCAATAATTAAACATATTATTATCAAACAGTACAAAAAACGTTTATGTACCTGTCGTTAATTTACTTCTTGATAATCGATGATAGGAATTTTAATTTTTCATTAAAACCATTCATTTTTGCAATCGTATATTATGATCAATTTCCATAGGTTCATTTAATTTAGTAATAATAATAGTATCAATTCTTTATAAAATATTTTATTAGAGAAGTAATGTTGGAACATACATACACATTTACGCGAACAGATAATTTATGGCATTTAATATTTAACGATAAAAGTTTTGGAACGTCAAGTATATAATTAAGCTACATGTTTTATTTCTACAGCCGTTATGGAAAGATATAAACTTTTGAATTTATCGTTCTAACAGGCAAACTCGAGCCAACAGGGTTAAAGAAAAACACACGATTTTTCATTACGTTTTCTATTTTCTTATTAATTTCAAATCCATTTAACTGGTGTGTGTTTTTATTGCCATTTTTTTTCCAAAAACAACTGTCGAGAAAATAATAATAACATAAAACTGGCGAACTGGAATCGAACAACTTTTATATAGTCCAATATTATATATTTTATTATATTATATTATATCTTAAATGCCTTTTTATACTTTTTTTTTTTGTACGTATTAAATTGATTAATATTTTTTACAACGATCGTTATTTACATTTTACAATAAAAAATAGGTATTTAAAGTGGATAAAAAAAAAAGAATTAATTTTTAATGAAAAAAAAAAAATACAATTAACTAATTTTTTTGATCGCTATTTAGTAACGTTATTTCTAGTTAAGAAATGAAGTCTTTTAAAAGATTCCTCTATTTTTCTTACGTTTCTCATATACTATACATCACAAAAATGAAGTACATTTATTTCAACGTTATTTCAAACCTTACAAAGGTTAACTTATATTTCACAGAAGATTTGTAAAATTTAAAATTAAGTATAATGAGTACAAAAATGAAGTAGAGAATCAAAGAACATAAATGAAGAATAACATATTATTTAAATTATAAAATCGATAACGTTTGTACGAAACTAACCAGTCTTGTCCAATTTTGAGTGGGTGCCTGTATGGTCAATATAAATAGTCTCTCTTGCAAGATAGAGAGCCTACTTGACATGACTAAAAAGTCAACAGTACTTTATACAACTACTAGTACAAGTAGCGTTTATTGATACTTAAAATATGATAATTAATCTTAATAATTTCTATTTCAAATTATTATTATATTAATATATTTTCAGACATCACTTTTTTTTTCCAGTATTTTACATCTTCTCATAAAACCCTTGTACTCATTCCACGAGAGAAAATTATATTGTATCACTTTATTTAATAAATACATAGAACTCAATCATCCTCATGCTCAAACCACAAACCGCATAAGAATTATATTTATTTTGGATTACTATAATCGTAGGTTAATGACTTTAGTAGTTAAAGATTTATCTTCTAAAAAAAATAAAAAATTTCTTTTAAAAAGCAAATGCTTATCTACAGGGTAATGTATTAAGCATACAACTCCCCATTTTATCGTTAAATATTATTATTTTTAATTAAAAATGTTTAGAATATAATTTTATTTATTTTTATAAACTATCTTAAATATTGAGTTTGTTGCAAGCAAAATTTATTCTTTCGAAAATTAAATGGATTAAATTATTATTATTTTTAAACATTAAATGGAGAATAGTCTACATAATATTTTGATAGGTCGATGACTACCATTGTAATATTACTTTTACGTTATTGAATTTTTATTATTAGCCGAATTGTGTGCGCAACTTAAAAAAAATCTTACCTGTTCCTTATAGTAAAAATAGAGCGACGCTAAACAGTACCCCGTTCTTCACCTTATCTCATCTTCAAATGATAATATTCCAAAAATTAATAATAAAAAACTGATTATCGACTAGTCAACATTTTACTATTCATTTAATAGTAAAAAAATAATAATGGGTTCTCATATAACTTTTGAAAGTTACCCCTAAAATCTTATCTAAGGAATAATTTTTTCTTATAATCAACTTGATATCTACAAAAAATTTAAATAAACACTGTTTATATGTTCATAAAAATAAACAACATATTAATTTATACATTAATATTATGAAAAAATCATTATTTTACTAAAAATGAGAGGTAATATGCTTAATAAATCTTCCTGTATATCATTCGAGATAAATTTTCAGCAGTAATATAATAATTAAAATTTTATAAAGTTCATTAAAAATAAACCGAAAATAGAATATTATAAGAACTTGTGAAATTAAAATACGATAGAATGAGTTGTTAGCTTTCAAACTGATATTTAAATTTTACGATGTTTATTAATGAATTAATTATATAAATGGTATTGCAAGTATTCAATAGTAAAGAAGCCACTTAACTAAATTAAAAACCTTTTTATGCTACTCTGTTAGGATTATTACTTTATTATTATTTAAACAATGAGACTAACTATACTTTGATGAAATATAATTTATTCATTTTATTTTTATACTTTGAATAATTAACAAAGAAGGAACAGAACAGTTAAGTAAAAAAAAACACAAAAAATGTACAAATAAAAGAAGAAAATATTTATAGAATTAGATTAGTTTTTCATTAATAATAGTATATTCAAATAGTATAAACAAAAAAAACTAAATAACTTTTAATAATTGAATAGTCTCTAAGTTTTAAAAATTTAAATGCATTTGAGAAATATTTTTTCAAATACTATTAATAAATGTATTAATTTTTGGAAAAATGTTTTTAAAGATCTAAATTAATAAACTTATTAATTTAGACACAGGTTATTTAAAAAAAGCGATCTTTAATTGTGTTTATTAGATATTTGAGATGATAATTATTTTTTAAATAGGATAAAAAAATAATTTAAATTGATATTTCATAGATATAATTATATCTATTAAATATGATAATCATTATTTATCATACAGAAAATATTACAGGAGTCATTACTACTAAACAATTTGTTTAAAATTATTCTATTCTATTTGAATGTAATATTTATGCATAAATTCACGCATTTCTAACTAGAAAATTGTTCAAATTAATAATCATTTATAACTTAAATAAAGTTATTCGAATTAGACATTTAATATAAAACATAGAAATATCTTCTAAAATAATGATTTAAAAGACTCTCTTAAGCAGACATTTTTTTAGTTATTATTTTATATTTTTTATGCGTTTTTAATATGTATTTCGTATTTTAAATAACAAAAAAGGAAATTGAAATAATTTTTTTTAAGTTTAAATTGAGCCATTAATAAAAATATTGTAGAATAAAATAGTATTTTTATCTCATCATTTTGAAAACATTGCTTATGAAATATTTTATCAATCAATATGAATATTTTATGAGCTGTGATTAATAATATTACAAAATTGCTTTAGGCATGTAAGAAAATTAAAGTTTCTCAAAATATTTTTCGATAAAGATCTTAAAAATAATCTTAAGAAAGTATAATAATAATAAACAGTTTTATTTATATACATTTTTTTTAAGAATATAATATTTTCATTTTTTTTTTTATACAGTATAATTGGTAATGAGTTTATAAAACAATTTTTTGTATTAATTATTATTAATAAATAAATATAATATAAATGTTTTTATTACTTTCGTAAACATTAAATATATTAAAATTTATGTGTCCAATCAGTGAATAATATGAACAAAAACAGTTTCGTAAAAAAAACTATCGAACTTTTTCTTAAATAATTACATATATTTATCATATTATTTAATAATGTGTGATATTTAGGATACTTAATGAAACCAATCATTGTAGTTACTTTCACAGCCCACGAAATAATATCTCTTGCATGATGTTAAAATGAGTATAATTGTTTTAAAGATACAC